ATCTTCGAAAATCGTCTCAAGTCCTCCATTCTCCGTGTGTAGTCCCGTGCGACAGCCTCTGAGACTGCCAAACGCTCCAGGTGTGTCTGTCCCTTGAAGCGAGGTGGATCCGTTCGCTGGGCCACCACGTGAGCTCGAGTTTTTGCCTTCTCGGCAGGCTTCTTGTCGAAGTGCGTCATCAACACCTTGCCTCTCTTCTTTTTGGGGCAAGGGACTGCGTGCAATCTGTCCAGAGTCATGTTGGCCAGATCGGGCTGGGTAGCACTGTTGGTTGATCCTCTGTAGCTCCTGCTTCTCACTGGCTCGGCCAACAACATGCTGTTTTCGGAGGTGTTCCCACCTCCTAGAACCCTTGTCAGCTACGTTCAGCTCCGACGGAATCCAACGGGTGGACAGGTAGGAATCAGTACATAGCAGCAACGCACACAGTCGTCTACATACCTTCAACATGGGGAAGGTGCTCGAGCGTCCTTTGCAAATCATCAATACCATGCTCATGTTGTCACCAAAATGCAAATGCCGCTTTGCAAACTGCTGAACTGAACGAAACTTGTGCCTAAGTGAAAAAACCACACCTCTGGCCTCAAGCAAAGTGATATGCTCAGCATGTTTCATATGCACAGCAAAAACTTCGTGCCAATGGTCCTGCTGCATCACTTCAGGGGGCACTTCAAGAAATTTCTCGTTGAGCTCAAAGGGATCTTCTTGCTCCAAATCCCTTTGATGAGGCTTAACCGTGGAAATGTCAACAAATGGGTCCCCTCTGTGTAATGCAGCTTCACGTGGCGGTGGAAGCTCCCTGTACTTGTACCGCCAGGGTTCCCTCTGTGCACCTAGCCGGGCTACGTCCTCACGAGGCAGCTCACGTGTGCACACTGCGATGCCTGACAGCGAAGCGTCGCTGCTGGTGACCTTCTCACTCCAAGTCCTTTTGAGGTCAACACTGCAAAGACCCAACAGACTGGAGGCCCAACGAGCTTCTCTGGCTGCTGATGAAAAAAGGACACTCTTGTAATGATAACTCTTTTGAACAAAATCATACATAGCTCTGAAAATTGAAAGCAACTCACGACGTAGAAGCATGAAGTGGATGCAATGTCCAAGAAGTCGTTCAACCTGTTTTCCCGAAACCCATGGACGCCTGCCAAGCCAGTCCAGAGCCAGCTTCACCTTCTGCAGCCTTTCCGGGACGGGCGTGACAATACCCTTCTGTCCATCAACCAGGAATCCAAGGCTTTGCCCAATGGGACATGCTTCTAGCTCTTCATGCACTCTGAATCCAATTTGCCGGAGCCTCCGAACGATCTTGTCCTTCACCTCCTGAACTCGTAGCTCATCAATACCTGCAACGTTCAAGTTGTCGGCGTAGGGAATCAAAATCACCTCTTTGTCTGATATGTCTGGAGGGGCCTTGCTCTCAACCACGACCCGATCAATGCTAAGACCTCCAGCCTCAATGCACAGATGAGTATGAACACGCTGAGCAACCCACATTGCC